ACCCTATATTTTTTTATAGGATTACAGTCTTTATGTGTTCAGTTAGGAAGAGAAGAAAGAAAATAAGACTCATAGTGTGTTGCTAGCCATAGGCTATTTTTACGTGTGGAAAGAAAGTAAAATATTTGCTTTCCCCAATCTAGTATCAGTAACCATTGGATTGGATGATGGGAGCAGGCTCCTATCCTGGCCGATGTTTTTTTCAAGTATTTGAGAAAATTTTGTACCATTTAGCTTTTGTGGTGGAAGTAGGATTTAAAGGAGTAGAGCTTCATAAAAGTTTATTCTAGCTTTCAACATCACGCTATGTAGGTTATTTTGAAGATAAAGGGACCATTTAGTACTCCTTTTATGCTGGAAATAGGTTATTCAATAAAATATTTTAAACAATGTGATAAAATTTGTACTTTTTATCTTTATAACTATTCCAAAGATGTTGGAGAAGTTGTACTTAAAATGAATTTAGCCAACAAACTGCTTTGTAACAATTCTGTGTTGAGAAACAATGTCATTAATGTCCCAAAAACCAAAAACGAAAAAGAAAAAAAAAATTTAATAGGAATTTATTTGTACAAAAATTTAAATATTTTTTTTTATTTTTAATAGTTAAGATATATTCATATTTATTAAAAATAGTTATTTTTTAAAAAATGTGAAAATTCTAAATTACTTAAAGTAAAAAGATAAATAATTAAAATTTTGCATAAATATAATATATATAATTTGTGTATAAATAAATTTAATATTAAAATTTTAATATAAAAAATAAAAAATAACAATTATTGTAACCATATATCGTCGGATCTAGTCGAGTTAGGATCCAAGATCCGCCCGACTTTCGTGCGCACTACGCATCCCCGCCGCACCCTCTGGGCTTACGTTAGCATCCCAAACCTACCTCAGGAAACCAAAACCCTTCTCCCCCCTGCGAACTTCCCTCGTCCGCCCCTCTGCAACTTCTTCGTTTTGAAAAATTAATTTAATTTCTTTCTTTTTTTTGCTATTTATATACAGAAAGAGGGAGAAAGCTCCAGTCTTTCAAGCTATGGGCAGCACCTTCCTCTCCATTCCAGCCAAGCGAGCCATGCCCGACCCTAATCCCACCTCCCTCAACGGCCTCTCCAAGCGCTCCAAGCCGTCTCACCCTCTTCCCTCTGTCCCCCCTGGTCACGTCTCCTTCCGCCTCCTCTGCCACGCGTCTCGCGTTGGTGGTGTGATTGGGAAGGCTGGGACTGTCATCAAGCAGCTCCAGCAGTCTACAGGTGCCAAGATCCGAATTGAAGAAGCCCCGCCTGAATGTCAGGATAGGGTCATTACTGTTACAGGGCCGAGCGCTGTTAATACCAAGCTTGTGCTGAATTCTGGTGGGTTTGGTAGTGGTGGGAGTGGGAGTAGGAGTGGCGGGAATGGTCAGGATGAGGAAGTCAAGGTGTCCAAGGGGCAGGACGCGTTGATTAGGGTGTTTGAGAGGATTCTGGAGGTGGCGGCGGAGAGTAATGGAGTGGCGGTGGGGGTTGTATCGTGTAGGTTGTTGGTGGAGGCGAGCCAGGCTGGGAGCGTGATAGGGAAAGGGGGAAAGATTGTGGAGAAGATAAAGAAGGAGACTGGAAGCAAGATTAGGGTTTTGACAGATAACTTGCCTGCTTGCGCAGCTGCCACGGAGGAGATGGTAGAGGTAAGGGAGTTGAGTAAGTTCTTTTGGATTTCCAATGCTTCTGCATGGCCAACTATGGATGCATGCGGAGGATACTTGCTTGACTATTTGATGCTGATTTTGGTAGCTTATGCAAATTTTATTTCACTACTGCGTTTCTTAGTGCACTGGAAAGTCTTGAGTTCAGTAGTGCTTTTAAGTATTTAATCTTCTCTACCTTCCCTTTTTGACCATTAGAGATTGAACTCTTTTAACTTCTAAAACAATCATATTACAAAAGGTTAGCTGAAGCTCAAATTCAGAATGCATGTAAAGTAACTGTTTTTTGGTTTGGAACTTTCTGTTTCTTGCATTCAGAGACAAATGTTCTTATTTTTCAGTTCAAAAGGAAAAAGGGGTTTCGAGGTTTAGACTCTGAACCAAAGAAAGAGATTTAATTCATTGTAGAAGAAACTAAAGTTCTTGATTCTTAGAAAACATTGGTGTTCAAAATGGATATGCAAGGAGCAACCATAAAGAAACTTATTTACATACTCCAAGAACGGATTATTTGGTCTTGAATGCTCTGTTTTCCTTGTTTAAAAGGTTGAAAGTTAAAAGACGGTGAACAGATGGAAAAATGGTCCAAGTTTTCGGAAAATTTGGGCATTTTAAGTCTTTGTTCTTCTTCGACATTATGTAATAATGGCCCAAACTGAAGGTGTGGGGAAGTAAAGTGCTATTGGTAGTGCAAATTCAAGCACTTAAGTTTTACATTTGGAGGCTATTCCATGTATGGATGCTCATGGTAGTTAGCTGTGATTCTGTTAAAGGGAGAGTTGTTGTATTTAAATGTTTTTAAATCAAATAATTGCTTTTCCCAACATCTCCATCTGCTAAAATTTTTGTTCTTTCTGTTATTATTTTTCAGCTTGAAGGGGATGTTTTATCTGTAAAGAAAGCACTTGTTGCTGTGTCTCGCTGCCTCCAAGATTGCCCATCGTCTAAAACAAGGATTACTGAGAGCAGAACTACAGAGACAGTTCCCCAGGAGACACTACACAGACATATTGATGTAATTCCCCAGGATACTCTACAAAGACATATTGAGGTACTTCCCTTTGAGACTTTATGCAGACCAGTTGAGGCAGTTCCTCAGGGGATCTTGCATAGACCTATTCACTCAGTTACCCATGAAACTCTGCGAAGACATACTGAGGCAGCTCCACAGGGGAATTTGCCTGATGTGCTTATAGATCGTCTTTCACAGCATAGTTCTTTGGGACCTAGTCTGTCCAGCAGCTCAATCAGTTCAAGAGTTTATCCTCTGTCACTAGAGTCTGAGAAGGCTCAGCAGGAATTGACTTTTAAAATTCTTTGTTCCAATGAAAAGGTTGGTGGTGTAATTGGAAGGGGAGGTGCCATTATCAAGTCTCTTCAGAGTGAGACAGGTGCTTCTATAACTATTGGAGCTTTAATAGCTGATTGTGATGAACGGTTAATAACTGTTACTGCATCAGAGGTTAGTCATGTTGTGATCTCTTCTCAAATTCTATATGTGTTTACATTGGAGTGTGTGTCTTGTGTGTCATTTATATGCTTAAGTTGGTTTATTTTTGTGCAGAATCCAGAATCACGGTATTCTCCAGCACAAAAGGCTGCTGTCCTTGTTTTTGTAAAGGCATTAGAGTCTGGCATTGAAAAAGGGCTAGATTCAGGCTCCAAGGGCTCAACTGTCACTGCTCGGCTTGTAGTTCCCTCAAATCAAGTTGGTTGCTTATTGGGAAAAGGAGGAATAATAATTACAGAAATGCGCAAGGTAACTGGAGCTGGAATACGGGTTCTTGGGGCTGACCAGGTCCCCAAGTGCATTAAAGAGAGTGATCAAGTAGTACAGGTAAAATATCTTTGTTGTCTTTTTTCTTTTTATATTATTTTTATTTGAGATTTTCATATGTTGAGGAAAGTAGTTCAATTGCTATGATCTTTAATCAAAGAGTTATCTTTCAGAATTGGCAACTGTTGGTTTTAGTATTTCAGAACTTGGAATTTAAAAGTGTGTATGATGCCATCCATTGTACTCTGATGTCTGATGCAGAAGAGTATAAATACTACAAATTTGAGATCATAATTGATATGATTATAATTTGTGCTTGACATTTGTTGCTTGTCAAGGATTTTGGTCAACAATTTTTTTTTTTTTTTTTAATTTTCTGGTCCCTTTTGCTCTTTTAAGGACTTCTTTTTCTGCATCTTTTCTTGTCAAACAAATAAATTTTTAATCTTACATGCTCCTTGTTCTTTTTAGTACCATTTATCTGAGAGATTTGTTGGCAAAATTTTCTGGTAATTCTTTGCATGTTGCATCCCAAAACCACATGCAAGCTAGTTGCATTTTTTTTTTTTATTATTATATAATTTCTACTCAAGATTAGATTATCATTTAGGCAAAGGGAACCAGCATATCTTTGGTGTAGTTAAGGTTGTAAATTGCTAACCAAATACAGAATATTATTTTCCTCAACTGACCATTTTTTGGGTTGGCATTGAGATGACTGGCTTCAGAGGAAATTTCTGAATGCTGCAGTTTTCTTTATATGACTTCTGAGGCTGGCCTCTCACCATAATTTCTTTTACTTATTAGTATAATATATATTTTGAACAGATTTCGGGAGAGTATATGAATGTGAAAGATGCTATATATCATGTTACTGGTAGACTGCGAGATAATCTATTTTCAAGCACCCTGAAAGGTGGTGGGGCGAGAAGCACTTCCACTGTATTTGCTGAGACCAGTCCATGTGGAAGGCTTATGGATTCTGAGCCTCTTGGATTGCACTCACCAGGCGGTGTTTCCCATAATCTTGGACAACGTACTACTATTGCACATAGTTTGGATCATCTTGAACTATCCCATGGCTTAGATTGTAGTTTAGATTGCTCTCTTTCGCCTAAACCATGGGCACCAGAGGTAATCTCTCTCATTCTCTCCCTCAACTCACTTGCTCACTTGTATGCACATTCACCACCACATATAAGCAGACGCTCAAAGCTAAACTATTGTTTATGGATTTGTTGAATTGCAGACTATTACCATAGCAAACCCAAGGGCCATTGCTGAAGTTGGTAGAGGATTGACCTCTTTTAGAGGTGGCTTGGAACTTGGCAGGTTGGTAACTTATTGCACACATTGTTCTTGGTGGAAATATCAAATGAGCTCTGCTACTTCTTTGTTTCAAGTAGAGTTCTGTCCCTTGATATTTACTGGTAGTTTTATCATCTTATGAATTTTTTTAAACTGGTGTTTGCAGTGGAAGCAAATCTGCCATTGTGACAAATACAACTGTAGAAATCAGAGTCCCTGAGAACGTCATTGGTTCTGTTTATGGGGAGAATGGTAGAAATCTACTTCGCCTAAGAGAGGTAATTACACTCATTTCTATTAGCATTATTTTGACTAATTAGTGTAGCAAAGTATTTAGTGTGAAAGGATAGTTTGAGCACTATCTACACAAACCAAACTCCTAACAAATTACAAAAAAAGAAAAAGAAAACAAAAAAAAAAACCTTGAAAACACAGCCTACAAGCCATAAAATTGTGGTCAAGACAAACTCAAAACTGAAAGAGGTAATCAAAATTAAAATAACATTCTAACATTATTGAATGAGTCTCAACCCCCCTCCTATTTAGATTTCTTCTGTTAACATGTTTTTGGATCATCCCGCTATTAAATAACTTATACCTAAAGGTATCTCTCAAATTGCTGATTTAAAAAAAGGGTCTTGCAAAAATTTATTTATAAATAAGGTAAACCTCACAGCCTTTGAAATTTTTTGCTTTTTTTGTAGAAAATATTTTGAAGAGTTCAAACTCAGGGTGTTTGAAAAGTTTAATCTGAACTTGATTTCTCCCTTTACATTTAGTTCATTAAAGAACAAAAGTGTAACAAAATCCATTTCACAGTTACTGAAAAAAAAAGGAGAAAATTTGTCTTTCAAATTAACTATAGTCATACAATATCCCATGCCTGGCTACATAATTAACTAGTCATACAATCTCCTTGCCCAGTTACATGAAATTCTACCAACATTTGATATTTATGAGACATATGATCTAAGTCAAAATCACATAAACTCATCATCTGGTGTTCTTAAATCAGATTTCTGGTGCCAAGGTCATAGTGCATGAACCTCGCCTAGGAACAAGTGACAGGATTATAGTCATATCTGGAACACCCGATGAAACCCAGGCAGCTCAAAGCCTCCTCCAAGCATTCATCCTCACTGGACCTTCACGATGAATATATTTCTCATTGAAACATATGAACAATGTTGCTTTTAACATATGGAGAAGATAAACTTCAAGCTGTTGCTTTTGTAGCTGATTTTTCATTTCATTGCAGTGTATCCTAATCCTAGCTTACATATGAACCTTGTCTTCTTGAAAACAATTACTCTAACCAATTTCTTGTTCACTGTTTCAAAAATTTTATTATCATTTTTCTTTGTTAAATTTTGTTTTGGATTTCTGCTTTAATAATTATACCCAAGGTGAAAGAAAAAGATGTCAGCTTGTATTCAGAGAAGGGAAGAATGTGTGTGTGTGTGAGCTTGTATTCAGAGAAGGGATTGAAGGGAAGGATGTGTGTGTGTGTGTGTTGGGGGCTTTTGGCAGCGGAAAATTTTTTAAACTAAATAGTCTGCACGACAACGACATCACAATTGAACCTTCACTCACAGTTTTACCCAATTTGAGCATACAAAAGAACAAGCACTCAACAGCATTGAAATTTGAAAAACTGTCCGTAGTTGTAGAGTTTTGTTGAAACTGTATCTGGGAATAAGATACATTCCAAACCTAGGGAAAAAGGATACATAACTAACAGTTGATTCTTTGAATTGTACTGCTTGAAGACTGATTCTTGCAGGAATTTGATCAGGTAAATTCCATCTTTCACCTTAGAAAATGAAGTATTTTCTCGTCACCTGGATGACCTTTCCAGGATGAATTTGGAATTTCATGCTTAAGGAACAAAAGTGAGAAACATAGAATATAGATACAAAGATAATCGCTTTTATGTTAGCCAACCATTATGTATTTTACTGACAAGCTTTTCGGAAGCAAACAGGGTTCAAAGGTAAAGTTACAAACAACAAAGATTGAATGGCATCATTAACAACATAACATGGTCTTTGCAATATCAAACTTTCATGGAATCAGAAACACAGTCTAGGTACTATGTAGTTGCAGCTGGTGGTGATGGTGTTGGGTTGAGTGTAATTTCCACATTATCATGGACACCTTGTAGCAGTAGCTCGCCCTCATACGTAACAATTTTACGTTTCTTTGCTGCTCTTAACGTCCCAACCAGCGCTTCAAAGATGTTTGCACACTTATCATCATTAAACAGCACCCCAAATGTCACCTTCAAAACAGGAAACAATGCAAATCTTACGGAAGGAAACTCATCACTCAACAAGAAACAGGGAACACATATCAGAATTTATCTAATTGTCTAATGCAAAGTCAAGTCATGTGAATATATCTCGCTCAACATAAAGTAGATACACGAAATAAGAAATCGAAAAAGGTGTCATCAAAACAGAATTGAAAGCAAAAGCAAAATGGAGCTGCCCCATATCCTTTAGCGGGTTAGGAAAGAACACCCAAAATTTGTGAATGACAAATGATGAGACAGGTATGCAAATTCAGGTGTAGACAATGAAAATAATATTTAGATAATATATCTTGGATTCAAAGATGGATGTGTTGGTTTGAAACTCTTTTGATGCATAACACTCTCTTTCATGCTTGTAAACTGAGAGCATCCTGGGAAAGAATGTTGGATAAATCACAAGCTGCTGCCCACAGCCCACAGTCAAGGAGGTTCTTGCAGAGCAGGTAATTGACATTTATGCTATTGTAGAACTTTCAGCTGTGTCAGATCTCATAAGAAGGAAACAAACCTACAGTGTAACGGGTACATATCTTACATATGTTGAGTTTTCTGCTTTGATTTAGCTTATGGGAACATTTCAAGAAGAGATTTTTAAGTTAGATCTCATCAATCTCATAGACATGAATGAAGATTGATGGAAGATCTCAGATCCAACATTAACATTTATGTAACAAGATAGATCCAGATTGAAATGGAATGAAAATTGTCGATGATTTCGATAGAATGAGAATGGTATTACCTTGTAAGAACCATCAGGTTGGATCTTGCCGAGTCTTTGGATCTCTTCCTTGAGTCGCCCGACCTCTTCATCTACGTTCATCTTTTCTTCCTTCTGGCTTTGATTGTTCAGTTTCTGATGGTCTTCTCTGTCTATGCTTGCTTTTATACTTTGAAAGCAACTTTTCGTTTAAAGTAAAACATAAAAATATCTTTCTTTCTTCCACCAAAAATATCTATCTTGAAAATTTTTTTTTCTTAAAATAGTGCTATAAGGATAATATTTTTATATTATTTTTTGATATAATTTTTATATGTCTTGATGTATTTAATATAATAAATTTTATATAAATTAAAAAAATTAATTATTTAAATGATATATCAAGTTGTATTAAAAAATAATATAAAAATTAACAATTTATTAATTTGAGTAAAAAAATTTTAATTTTTTTCAAGTAAAATTTTAAATTTAAATTTTATGAATAAAAAAATATACGTTTGTAAGAATTTTTCTCATGAGGTTTGATTCAGCTGGACTCCGAATAAGTTAACGTATGTGATTTTTTTTTATCGAAAGTTAGTACAAAGAAAAATAATAAAAAAAATCGTTTCAAAATCATTTTTCAAATAGAAAATGGGTTGAATTTTCTTTTTTAAAAAGAGGATTTTATCCAGAGACGGAAACAAACAACCATCCGACAGGGAAAATAATCTTGTCCGCAGATACGGATTGGGTGAGGGATGGGATTATTAAGAATTT